GGCACTCTCCCAGCTGAAATTTGTGGGTTCCTCCAGATGCGCTGAACTCTCATCTCTGCGTTGCCACAATCCTCTGTAGATGACACTTCTCTCACAGGGTCCGCAGGCCTGAAGTCACATGTGTTGCTATGGGCAACCACATTCTTCTGAAACTTTTGGGCAGCCTGCTGCTCCTTCCTGGAACTCCAAGCAGGCTTCCCAATTGCATACCCAGACCTTTGTCTGGTTCTGTCACCTTGTACTGGAAGCTGGGATATAAGGGGCACTTGGAGACAGTGTGCCCCCATTCACTGCACCGCAAACAGCGCTCTTGCGGCAGTATCTTGGCCGAACTTCCAACACTGCATCCTCTTTCAGGCTTAGTACTCTGCACACAGAAAACTGGTTTCCTTTCACCAGCATTGCCAGGGACAACAGCATGCACTTCCCACTGTGGCAAACTCTGTGCAGCCATGTATGGGGCTTGTTCTGGTGGTAACAACCCTCCAGCCACAGGGCTCTGTCTCTCATTTCAGAAAAGCTTGCTTCTTTTTTGAGTTTTGACCGCCCCATCTTTGCAGTCACTCCACAACACTTTTGCACAGTCCAGGTACACAATGGAGCAGTCTCTTTAAGGCAAGTTCCTTTTCTCTTGCAGGATCTCCTCACCTGCACACACAGATAGTGCAGAGTCATGCACCAAACACAGTTCAACACATGAACTTACTTCCTTGCTGGGATCTCTAGTTCTGCCCACGGCATCCTCCACCATATGTGGGAACTCGCTTCAAATGGTAGAGCTTCTTCCAAGCACACAGCAACTCGCTTCTTTTTAAGGGCCTTTTTGCCCAATTTTATTTACAAGAAAGTTCAACAAAAATGCTTCCCACGCAGGGGTATCCACCATCAAGCAATACCAACCAAAGATTCAGCCTCCTGGCTTGTACACAGTTCACTGTCTGCCTCCTGCAGACTTTTCCCAAAATATGTCACTAGCACACAGCTAGTCTGGCTTCCGCCTGACTCCAAGGCAGAGACCTCCCGTCTGCCGGGGTGGAGCCCTCCTGACTCCGTTTGCCGGGGTGGAGCCCAGAACTATGGTTAGGACCCTATAAAAAGGCCTGTACACACCTGTGCACTCAGTGTGCTGGGGGTTCTCAAAACACGGACCCCGGATTGGAGATTTCATCCCTCCCAGATCTCTTCGAAATCTCCAGGCTCCAGATCCCAAAACAAACTTAATAAATAAATGAGGAAACCGAAAAGTCAGTTTCCTCTGCAATACATTAACTCTCTGGAGCCCCTCAACCTGCCTGGTTGAGAATCCAGGGTTTTCAACTTGAGTTTTGACCGTGGCAGGACACTGCACTGCCACAACATATTAATCCATGCTCTTTGTGTAGATGGAGGAAATTGTTTTTTTTGTTTTTTTCTTCAGCCACAAGATGAACAAAATAAATCTATTAGTATATGGCCTGCTTTAATCCGTGTAAAGGGAACATATATTTCTGGATATTTCAGGACAGATTCTGATATTTCTGCCAGTTCGATAAAACATATACATAATGATTTGAATGAATATAAGACTGAAATAAAAGATACGTTAATATCTGCCCAGAGTTTAGCATTAATTGAAATCATATTTATTAACCTTATCAGGAAACCTCTGTCCAAGTGTTGATAGATCTTTTGAAAAGCACAGGATGGAAAAAGTCCTGAGATAAATTAATGTTAAAAAGTCTATGTAAACTTTCCAGTATGTGCTCTAAATATGTACAAGTATGGACATGTTCAAAGCACAAAATAAAGCTTTTGGGCATTTTCTCATGTATTTTGTTTGAAATATTTCCGGTACTGTTTCACAGTCTCAGTTAAAGACATTCTATCAAAAATCTGTGATCGTTGTCACTCGTCTCTTTGAATGAATAATAAGAGATGTCTATATATGTAATAGGACCAATCCCCATCCATGTGGAAAAAAGAATAATGCCCAATCAGTTTGCAGGAAAATGAACCTTGGTACTCAATACTTGTTTTTTCACTTCTGCACCAACTGTTTATTGCTAACTTCCATACATTACTGGCAAAAAATGGGTAACTTACAGTCAGTGTAACAGTATAGTGATATTACTGGATGTGGTGTGCCTGTCGGGAGAAGCTTTTTTTTTTTTTTTAAGGAAACAGAAATAAAGAAGCTGCCAATTCCTGACATTTTTTAAAAATGCTAGTTGCCTGGTTGTTCTGCTGACTGAACTGTACTCATATTCTATGTGTCTGATGTAGTTCTCAGTATCTGTTCCTATTCTGTATGTACTGTATGAACTGCACAGTGTCACTTCTCTTGTCCTGTACATGGGGTTTAATTCTCACTATATATTTCCATTATGTATGTATGCATGCTGCACAGTAATAATTATCTTGTTCTATATCCCAGGTGTAATTCTCAATATCTGTTCCTATTCACTATGTGCTGCACAGTATTATTATTATAGGTACTTATATAGCGTCATCAATTTACACAGTGCTTTACATGTATATATATTGTACATTCACATCAGTCCCTATCCTTCAAGGATCGTGCAATCTAGGGTCCCTATTTCACATCCATACATACATGTTGGTAGGGGGAAATTTGGGGGGTTGCACTAGAAGGGGTGATGTGAGAGGGGTCCTTTGTGCAAGTTTTTTTTGGGTGGGGGGGATTTGTGTTAGGAAGGGGATTTGGGGGAGATGATTTGTTCAGGTAGGGATGAATGGGGGGTATTTGTGCTAGGAAGTTAAATTTGAGTGGTGTGTATGTGTGCTAACAGGGTGTTCTTTTATGGGGAGGTAGGTGTGCTAGCAGGGAAGTTTTGGGAATAGAGGATTTGAGTTTAGAGATTTGAACTTGGATTTATACTGGGAGGAGGGGGAATTTTTATTTGGGGAGAATTTTGGCTTTCAAAGGAAATTTACGCTTAGGGCCAAGCTTGCCAGTTAGTGCTCATTTTCTTTTTCTTTTTTTGGGGGGGGGGCGATATTTTTACTGACACAATATATCTTGTGGGGGGCGGCGCAGTTTGGCATCTTTGCCCTGGGCGCTAGATGTCCCGGCACTGACTATATGTTACCATTAAGCATGTATGGATGCTATACAGTACTAATTTTCTTGTTCTATATGTATGGTATAATTCTCAGTATCTCTTCTTTTTCTGTATGTATGTATTCTGCACAGTATCACTTCTCTTGTCCTGGATGTGGGATACCATTCCAACTATCTGTTTCCATTTTGTACATAAGGATGCTGCACAGTACTAGTTCTGCATATATGGGCAATGCAGAATTTGACTTTCCTAGACTTGAATGCTGGATGCAATTCTCATGATTCAGTATGCTATTATGGTGTCTATATGGACTCTGTACAATAGCGCTTCCCTTGTCCTGTATGCTGTATGGTGTAATTTGATGTATCTGTTCTTATTCTTTGTGTTTGGATGCTGTAAACTACAGCTTCTCTTGTCCTGTATGCTGGGTGTGATTTTACGCACCTCTTCTCAGGCTAGGTTCACAATTGTACTTGTGCGCTTAAGAGTTAATGGCACCCTCACGAGTCTGCTAGAAACCAGTGGTTTTTGCCTGCAGGTCAGGAAAGCATTATAATTCATATTGCACATGTTCCCGACCCAAACGTGTGAACCTACCGTTATTATTAAAATAGAAGTATGAACTTTTGAAAAAAGTATCGATTTGATGCTGTATCTGTCCCCCACCGGCTCTACAGTGAGAACTGAGCAATCATGCACCATTGATCACTCAGTTCTCCCCTCTGCTCTGAGCAGAGTGCAGTGACTCTCAGTCACCTGCTCTCTGCTCTGCCCCTCCAGAGCTCACTGGAGCGCTGCGCTATAGTAGGGAACAGAATGTACAGCACCCCTGTGACCTATTGTAGAAGTATAGCAAAAATGTTTTGGCTAGAATTCTCCTGGTCACTGCACAGAACCACTTCTCTTTTAATACAGAAATTATTCTTCCATTGCTTCTGAACAATTTAGCCATACCAAGTTTTTGCTGCAGTAAGTGCCATGTCTCCTTATACTTCAATGAACTGTTCTCAAAGTTCTTTGCCTTGTTATCGGCAAATAGGAGGATTTTAATGCTCCACGTTACAAGGAAGTATACATAGCCTATCTTAAAATGTTTCATGGGGTACAGGTTGGCTATATTTTGCATGTTTTTCAGAGGAATTTTGGGCTAGGTCGTAGCCTCTTGTTACATGATTCTTAAGCAGTATGTTTTGCTGTTTCTATGCATTATTGTAGAAAATTTCTAGTACTCTGAAAAATTAACTCTGCTACAGAATGTTAATTTTACGAATTACTTATCAGTTTTTCACACATACAATTCCCATTATTATTAGAGAAGCTCATATTCAAATGGCTTATGGAAATCCATAGAGAACTCAGATAATTTAAAAGCCCATCACCAGGTAAATTTTGTCTCCCTGCTCCCATTTATCCACAGTGTTTACAATATGTTACTTCTAAAGTTGAACCCCCCCCCCAAAAAAAGGGGCAGACGTAATGGACCACTTGGCCATGGCTACTACAGTGATACTCGCTCCATTCCTGTACCAAGTGGCTGCCCTGGTGCATAGTAACCATAGGGGTGGCTCACTCAGTATGGGCAGCATTCACTGAATGCTTTTCATTTTATCAATGAATGAAAACATATTAGAATAATATCAACAATTATTAATATTATTAGAATATTATCAACAAAACATGAAACTGCTTTTAACCACTTGCCTACCAGGCACTTTTACCCCCTTCCTGCCCAGGCCAATTTCCAGCTTTCAGCACTGTTTCACTTTGAATGAAAATTGTGCGGTCATGCAACAATGTACACAAACTAAATTTTTATCATTTTTTTGAGACAGAGTTTTGTTTGGTGGCATTTAATCACCGCTGGGTGTTTTATTTTTTGCTAAACACACTTAAAAAAAACTAAAAATTTTGAAAAAAAAGTTTTTTTCTTAGTTTCTGTTATAGAATTTTGTAAATAAGTAATTTTTCTCCTTCACTGATGTGTGCTAATGAGGCTGCAGTGATGGGCACTAATAGGTGGCACTGACGAGGAGGCACTGGTAGGTGGCACTGATGGGCATTGACAGGCATCACTTGTGGGCATTGTCATGGGCACTGAAAGGCAGCACTCATATATGGCACTGATAGGTGGCACTGACTGGCACTTATTGGAACTGTTAGGCAGCACTGACAGGCACTGAAAGGCAGCACTGACTGGCATCACTGATAGGCGCCACTGACTGGCACTAATAGTTGGCACTGAAAGGCAGCTTTGATGGGCACTGATATGAGGCATTGATGTGCACTGGTAGGCACTGATATATGGCATTGATGTGCACTGGTATGTGGCATTGATGGGCACTGACAGGTGTCACTGAAGGGGCTACACTGATCACCAAGGCAATGATCATCAGTGCCCTGATGATCAGTGTAGATGCCCCTCTGAGGAATCCCGCTTACCGGCTCTCCTCTCCTTACGTGCTGTCAGTGTGAGGAGAGGACTGCCGATAACTGGAATTTTCTTGTTTATATGCATTCAGCTGTGATTGGACACAGCTGATCATGACAGACCCTGTGTCATCGGCTCTTTACTGTGATCGGTGATCTGCTGTGACACAGGGACACAGAACAGCACAGATTGCTGTGTCGAGCGCCCCCATGGTGCGCATGTTCAGTTAGAGTGGGGGACGTTATAAGACATCCTCCCAGAATGAGAGAACCACTGCCCGCCCATCATTTCCTTATATGGCGGGCGGGGGGGGGTTAATTTGCAAAAATAAATGCCATAAGATGCCGCCAGCACCAATATTTATGACAAAATCAGAGTCATGGACAGAGGGTATCTGTGGTTGGCAGTGGCAGGGTGACAGTTGCAGTGTGAGTGTAGGATGATGACAGATCCCAGGCTGAAATTCCCCAGGCAATGGAGGGAATAAAATGCTATGAGAGAAGGCAGCCCAGCCCACACACACACACACACAGAGAACACCTGAACTGAGCGATCCCACACAGTGACAGATCTGACACAACACAACACACCACCACAAACACTGGCACAGATCAGCAGGCACTAGAAGAGCAGGCTGGGGGATGGTGATGATGTCATCACTCACTGACACATTGCACATGTGATGGTTGGCCGGCCAGATCACATCACACAGACACGAGACATCAGAGTCAGACATTACCTTCCTCCACAAGTGCAGCTCCCCATCTGCTGATGAATGGGAAAAGAAGGGCTGGAACTCCACAATGATCAGCAGCCACCATCCAGCTTGCAGTAAGGGACTGATTCTGAGAGGAACACTATAAGGAGCTGCAGATCAGGGCTACACTGACCCCAGACACCCGGCATCTTCCTCTGTTTTATCTTCCTCCCCTCTGCTGCCTCTCCCCTCGGCTGAAAGATCATTCATGACATGGCGGAGTCCCACACAGAGAGAGTGCCAGACTGTGCTGCACCGAGGTGCCCCTAGGTGGCAGTGCGCCCTAGGCGGCTGCCTAATTTGACTAGTGGAAACACTGATCCTGGCAGCAGGGTGGCCACTCAGCATGGGATCTGGAAGATAGTGAGGCTTACTGTAGTAGCAGTTACTACTACAGTAATTCCCTACTTCCACAGGAATGAGCCAGGGTTGATGTATGCATACAACATAAAAAAGAACTTGACACTTCAGCACTTAGAAGTCATGGAAATACCTGCCATAAGGACCAACTGTAAACGAACCACTGAGCAACCTAGGCTGGAAGGAACAAGTGATGCAGCCCCCTCAAATCAGGGAAATCCAACACTGCAAAAAAAGAAGGGAGAAAGGTGGCCACTGCTCTGAAGAAGGTGACCAGTTCCCCGAAAAGTGTAAGCTGGCTTTGTCATCTGTATGTCCATGAGATCAGAGAGCGGATTTCTGAAATCTGCTTGTTATATGCTGTCAGTCTACTTGGCTTATGAGAATATTTGTCTTCCGCTATCGGCTTCCGCTACCCTTTAATATAGTGCTAAGGATAATGCACTAGGCATTTGTACCCTCTTTTTCTTGTTTTTATGAAACAGGTATATTTACATTGGTGTAAGCTGGACCAATGTAACTATGTGAAAATATCCATTCCCGGAATTCAGCTTTAGGGGGGCATGGGGGTTGCTATTTTTTTTTTGGGGGGGGCAGGTTTTAACCGCCTCCCGCCCACCACATAAGGAAATGATGGGCGGGCATGGCTCTCTCATTCTGGAAGGATGTCATATGACATCCTCCCACTCTAACTGGAGTCGTGCGGCGCAGCGATCAGTGGTGCGCTGTGTCCCTGGGACACAGCGGATCACTGATCACAGTAAAGAGCCAATGACACAGGCTCTGTCATGTGATCAGCTGTATCCAATCACAGCTGATCGCATGTAAACAAGGAAATCCCGGCTATAGTCATTCACGCTGACAGCGCGTAAGGAGAGGAGAGCCCGTAAGCGGCATTCCTCAGAGGGGACATCTACACTGATCATCAGGGCACTGATGATCATTGCCTTGATGATCAATGTAGCCCCTTCAGTGCCACCTGTCAGTGCCCATCAATGCCACCTGTCAGTGCCCATCAATGCCACCTATCAGTGTCCATCAATGCAACATATCAGTACCTACCAGTGCACTTCAATGCCACATAGCAGTGCCCATCAGAGCTGCCTATCAGTGCCAACTATCAGTGCCGCCTAACAGTTCCAATCAGTGGCGCTTATCAGTGCCAGTCAGTGCCGCCTATCAGTGCCCATCAGTGCCATATATGACTGCTGCCTTTCAGTGCCCATCAGTGATGCCTGTTAATGCCTGTCAATGCCCACCAGTGATGCCTGTGAATGTCCATCAGTGCCACCTACCAGTGCCTCCTCATCAGTGCCACCTACCAGTGCCTCCTCATCAGTGCCGCCTATTAGTGCCCATCACTGCAGCCTCATTAGCACACATCAGTGAAGGAGAAAAATTACTTATTTACAAACGTTTATAACAGAAACTAAGAAAGAAACTTTTTTTTGTTCAAAAATTTCAGTATTTTTTAGTTTGTTTATCAAAAAAGAAAAAACCCAGTGGTGATTAAATACCACCAAAAGAAATCTCTATCTGTCTCAAAAAAATGATAAAAATTGTGTTTGGGTATAGTGTTGCACGACTGCCAATTGTCATTCAAAGTGCGACAGTGCTGAAAGCTGAAAATTGGCCTTGGCACGAAGGGGGTAAAAGTGCCCGGCAGGCAAGTGGTTAAAGACCCTCATTACTGTTTTGGACAATAAATATCTTCACTACATTTTTCTAGCCTAAACACTTCAGATAATCAACACGTTTCTAAACCCATGCTTTTCTATTTGCATTCTTTATTTCATCAAGGAACTGGCCTTTTTTAGAGCCATGTAACCTTATAGTATGATGTACATTGTGTTTGATAAAGAAAGTTTGGAGTGTTAGATAATTAGGAGGATTATATTACAATCAGGACAATGCAATCGCTGTGAAAAGAGAGGAAGTTCTCATGAAGCACATAAAAGGGAGTAAGATTGTTTTCCACATCCAGATCTGTACTACTGATAATAATAAAAGTATAGAAGAAGTAGAACAGTTAAGGATACATTCGTATTGTTTTTTATTAGTTTTCTGAAACAACATCATGCCTATACAGTGAAGGCTACAGATTCTCTGTTCATGGTTCAGTTCTCACCGGAGCTACGTTTTTGTCTTTCTTCACAATAAGTGTGCCCATAAACACAACGGCCTAGATACCTGGCTTTGTTTCAGTGTCCACCGGGGATTAGTAGGTTGTACAGTTCATGTAGTCACGAATATAGTGTGTTTCTCTAGTTTCAATTGTAAAGCCAAAAATATATCACAGCTCTGTACAGTGGGAAATAAAATGCATATGTTACAGTTTTGGGGCACCACTAAGAATTTAAACTGCACTGTGGAAGCTGGGTCAAAAAAGTCAGGCATAGGGCAAAGGACTAGTTAACAGTTGGGATGAGACAAACTTGGTTCGAGTTAAGTTCGGTGAACTTCAAAGAAGTTCAGATGCTGAACCCAAACCCCACTGAAATCAGGGAGCCAAACCTGTCAAATTAAAAATGCCCATTTTCTGAGCTAATTGGTATGGGAGTATAAGGAAGGGAGGTGGATGTCACATGTACCAATACAAATAAAAGTTCCATTCGGCCAGGAACAGTGATTTTGCTTAAAGTTAAACATTTAAAGTGTCCAGTTCCTTTAAAACATCGTGCCCAGGAGGGTGCCTTAATCCTGCCTGTGAAGGGGTGCATCTCTATGATATAGAGAAAGTGCTACAGCAGCACTGACATTTACAAAGGAAACTTGTCTAAAATTGTTGGCAAGTGACATTTCATTGAAAGCTTCTTTAATAAAAAAAAAAAAGACACATAGACCCCTCCAAAGGTCTGCTATGTATTTTGGGGACCTTTGGAAGGGTCACTGTGTGCTTTGCTTTTTTTTTTTTAAGAAGCTGGTTGGTAATGAATGCCTGCATAAGCTTTTTTTTTTCTTTGTACAGGTCACTTTTGCTGTAGCATAACCTGCAGCAAGAATGGAATAAAATATGTGCAGCCCTGCCCCCCCACCCAAAAAAAAAAACAGACACATTACCAGACTCTTTGGGGTTTATTTACTAAAGCTGGAGACTCAGAATCTTGTCCACTTCTGCATAAAAACCAATCAGCTTCTAATCAGCTTTATTGCAATGAAGCTTAATGAACATGCTGGGATAGAAGCTGATTGGTTACCATGCAGAAAGCCCAGTCTGATTTGACTCAACCAGGTTTAGTAAATAAACCCCTTTGAGTCTGCTACAGATATAAATCCATAATCCTTAATCTGGGCATGCAGCCTAGCTGACCAAGAAAGGAAGAGGGGGAGTGTGCGCCCCCCAAACCATATCAGACCTACGTGCCCTCAAGGGGTACCTTGCCATGGGGAACCAGCCCTGGTAAAACACCTTGTCCCCATGATTATTAGGACAAGGGCCTCTTTCCCAAAACCATGGAAGGTGGTTGTAGGGGTCTGCAAGTGGGGAGGCTTATCCGAATCTGAATCTGGCAGCCCTCTTTAATAATAAGGGGGCCCCCAGATATCGGCCCCTCCAGTATGTAAGTGAGTATGGGGTACATAGTATCCATACTCATTCATAGAAAAAGATAATTGTAAGATGGAAATAAAGACACCCAAATGTTTTACAAGTCCTTTATTAAAAAATTTAAAAATCCTCAAAAGACCACCATAGACTCACTGAAAAAGTAAAAATGGACGACCCATTGCACACAACCGATCCTGACAGTACTCATAGCTGAATGAAAATTCCCCGATCTGCCATCAGCTATATAAAGGAAAGTGCAGGACTTGTGGTGACATCATTGATCAAGTGTGGCCATGCCAATAT